ACACACACACACACACACACACACACACACACACACACACACACACAAACACACACAAAAGAAAGGGAGAGAATGAGAAAACACTTCTATCCCCTCCAGGCACAGGCCAATCAGGCTCTGTGAGGCAGATAGGGGGTTCTCTCAGGCGCCCACTTCCCATCATGCCCATGCCTCTCCAGGGCTCCCCTGATGGGAGTCATTTGGAAAAACAAATCAAAGACCTTCACAAATTAACCCCTGCCTTCCCTCAGGACATGGCTCTGTGCAGGGCTGCACTGGGAACGAGACATCTGGGTCCCCTGACCAAACACCCGCCCCTCCTAGGACGTGCTCCTGTCCTGACAACCGCAATCCCAGCTGGCATCTGCTGTGCCCTGTCCTGGTCCTCAGAGAGGGCTCAGTGTGTGTGTGACGTTGTCAGAGGGCTAGGTGGGAAGGGAAGTAGTGACTGGAGAGGTTAGCTGGACCTTCGGGGCAACCCTGACTTGCATCACTCCTCTGTCTCTGTGGGAAGGGGAGATACTGCTCTGCTCCTGGAAGCCCCCAGTCTGAGGGGGATCATGGGGCCCCTTGGGAAGGCACTTGCGAGATTCCTGAGCTTCCTCACTCTGAGAGTAATGGTGGAATTGGGCGGGGGGGACACCGTGTAATCTTCTCTCTCTCTTTCTTTGAGTCGGGGTTTCACTCTGTCACCCAGGCTAGAGCACACCATCATGGATAGCAGCTCACTTCAGCCTCAATCTCCGGGGCTCAGGCGATCCTTCCACCTCAGTCTCCTGAGTAGCTGGGACGATGCCTGGATAAATTTTTGATCTCTTGTGGAGACAAGGTCTCACTCTGTTGCCTAGGCTGGTCCTGAACTCCTGAGCTCAAGCAATCCTCTTGCCCCAGCCTCCCAAAGTGTTGGGATTACAGGTGTGAGCCACCTTGCCTGGTAATCCTTCCCTTTTTGAACGTTTTACCCTCAGCTCTTTTTCCTCTCCCCATCAAGCCCCCAGCCCCCATGAGGGACATTTATTCCACGCGATCCTACCCTCTACTCTCCAAATCCTACTCATGGGATGTGTCTACCTGGGTGATGGGCCCTGGGACACTAAGGAAAAGCAGTCCTCCCCCCTAACTAGCCTCCCTCCCTTGCAGTGGATGGGCCTGGAGGTGGGAGACAGGGGCCAGGGCACTGGAGGCAGGAGCTCAAGACCCAGTCTGGCTTGACCTTCAGTTCTCTGAGCCTCAGTTTCCTGTCTGCAACAATTGGTTCCATGACTTAGTGGTGCCTGATTCTCAGCTACCTGTCCCATCCCTGCCCTTCTCATTCAGTGGCCTTGGAGAGGAATTCCGACTTGCTCATAGCCTTATGGTGGTTTCCAGTCAGAATGGATGGATTGGGATTACAGGTGTGAGCCACCTTGCCTGGTAATCCTTCCCTTTTTGAACGTTTTACCCTCAGCTCTTTTTCCTCTCCCCATCAAGTTTACTGGGATGACAGTGTCACAAGCAGGAATGGAGGGCATCTGTTCATCCCCCTGCTTTGAAGTCCTTACCTCCTAGGGAGCTGAGAGAAAAACACCTTTTGTGGGAGAACTAATGGGAAATGCTTCTGAGAGCGAACCCCAGTCTCCATGTTGCAGAGCCGAGTAGGCAGCTGTGCTCTGGGGGGACACCCGGCTGCTTGGCCTCGCCACTGGCTGGGAGGGAGATGGCGGTGGGGGTGGGGGGAGCACTGAAGGCCGGTGCTGGGGACTCACCCTCTAGTGTGTCCAGGCCAAATCCCAAGGAGAGGAAGATCACAAGCAGGCATGCTCCCCAGGGCCACAGACCGTGCACTGTCATGGTCCCAGCCCTGGCTTGAGTCCAGTCCTGGCTCTCCTCCAGGTGGCTCCAGGGAAGAGAAGGGTCTGACAAGCCCTAAGAGACAGAGACCTTGGCTTCAGACAGGGGAGGAAGGGCAGGGGCAGAGAGGCAGGGATCCGCACAGAGACAGCAGGAGACAGAAAAGAGAGTCACAGAGACACAAAGACAGTGACAGGCAGGTGGAGACGGAGATGGGGATAGAGATATGACAGTGAGAGGCAGTCTCAGGAAAGCCCCTAGAGGGAGAATGTCACGGGTTCAGATCCAAAAAGGGTGCAAGAGACCAACCAACCCCAAGGGCTCACAGAGGGCCAGGGAGTGTCCGAGGAGGGCAGCAGGGGTCCCCAGTCGAGCGGGACCTGACAGGGATGTGTCTCCCCAGATCTCTCGGGGCGCGCGGCTGCCCAACCCCAGGTGGCCGCGCGGGCTGCGTTGTCTCTCGGCACCAGTGCGCAGTGGCCGTGCCCAGCTGCTGCCCACCCGCCCTCCGGCCAAACGGATTGGTTTGCAGGAACCTCTCCGTTCTCTCCGCCCCTCCCGCCAAGCCAAAATATTTAGCCTGACAACTGAAGGTGCACAGGTCTGTTGGGGAAATAAGCACACACACGGGGGAGGGTAGGCCAAGAGCTGAGCTCCCCCGACCCGCCTGCGGCTGCGTGGGATCCTCTCCCCTCCCCCGCCTCCACCGCAGGCTTCTTCCAAGCCCGACCCCCTGAGGAGCGGTGTGGCTAGATTCTGCCACCCGGTGCCTCGGCACCTGCGGGGTAACTTCCGACGGCTTGGTACCCGGCGGTCACGTGGACAGTGTCTCCCGAATATCCAAGCCCTGCGCCTCTCGGGTCCTTCTCAGCCTCCCAGGAGGCCTTCCTGCCTGCTTTCGAGGCCGGCCAAAACCCCGGGGAAGAGGGCAATCACTCTGGGGCTCTGCCGCGGCCCGGTCACCTTCTTGAACTCAGGCTGCTCGGTCCTCGATCTGTGTTTCTGTCTCGGAGACTTGGGGGGGCATCCGTGCTGGGGCCCCGGCGAAGGAAAAGCGGGCGCGCCTCCAGGAGACCGTCCTTCGCCGGCTCCCTGGAGTCCCGGTCCGCCCCCTCCCAGGACTCCTTTCCCCACCCCTCTCCTCGCCTTGAGACGGACGGGCTGGTGCAGCCACAGCCGCCGGAGGAGTGGGAGGGGCCTGGACCAGCCCTCCGGTGCCCTGGGTGCTGGGGATCGCGGGGCCTTCCAAGTGCGCGGCCTCCAAGGGCCGTCGGGTCCCCAGCTCCACCCGGCATAGCGTCCGAGGAGCTAAGAGAAGATCTATTAATTTCTCCGCGAAGAAATCGATGCTCTTGTCAGGGAGGCGATCGATGCCAACCCTGCCCTGCCTGGCCCTACCCGGCCCGAGGGCCGGCGCTGGCAGGCCGGGATCAGGGACTGAGGCTGGGATCCGAGGCGCAGCTCAGAGGGGGTCGCAGGCCGCGCGCCCACCCGCCCGACATCCGCCCGAAGCTCACACCTTTGCGCGCGGGCTTCCAGCGCCACCCGGTGGTCTCTCCCGGAAGGCGCGGTCTTGGCTCTCTGGGCTCCGTTCTTCGACTGGGTTTAGGCGACCCCTTCCCTCTTTCTGCCCCTTCTGCGTCTTCCTCCTCAGGGTCTGCATTTGGCCCTTTTGGGGTTCTTTCCCTCTTCTTCCTGGGATCCAAAGAGTCTTTCAGATAACTTAGCCCAAGGGACACGCACGCTCTCTGGGGCGCGCGCGCCATGAGCCGGGAGCTCAGGCTGGGGGCTGGCTAGGATGACCTGGACGGCAACCTTTCCCCAGCTCAGTCGTCTCCCCTCCTCCCCAAATCTCAAAATGCAGCTGCTTTAGGCTGGGAGGAATAGCGTATCGACTTCCCAGCCCCGCCCCCGGCAGACACCTCTGAGGCGTCCTGCGGCGGCCGCTCAGCGT